CCGGCCGCCAGGGCGCCGCCATGCTCCCCTGACACGGCGGGGGTGGGACCTGCGGGACGAGAGGCGGGGCTTGGTATGCAAATACAGCCGGCGGCCTGCGGGGTGGGATGGGGCGCATGCGCACTGCGCGCACAGCGGGGCACGGGTTCTTGCACAATGCGCGGGGCTCCTTCAGCGGTGGGGAGGGGAGCGGTGGGGCGGGGTCGAGCATGTAAATGAGGGCCGGCTTTTGCTGCGCGATTGGAGCAGAGGGAGGAAGAGGCGGGACCGGATATGTAAAAAGCGAGCCGGCGCAGGGCGCACGGGAGGGGGAGACCGGCTCGGTTGCGATCGGAAGGAGCGCACGGGTTAGGCGTGGTCCGTATGCAAATCCCGCCGGCGCTCGGGCGGGGGGGGCGTGGCTCGGATGCAAATCTACCAACTGCCGTTTCCCAGCTCCCGCCCCGACGTTCTGCCTAACATCGCCTTGGCCCCGCCCCGCCCGTAAAAGGCGTCGCGCCTGCGCAGTGCGCCGAAATGAGGACTTAGTCTGTTACACAACGCTGTGGAGCCAGGGGCTGCGCTCACCGTCGCGTCCAGGCTCCGCGCGTCCCCGGCGGCGCGGCCCGGCCCGGCTCGGCTCTCCTCAGCTCTCCTCTCCTCCCGCTCCGCTCCGTTAGGCCTCCCGCACCCTCCGGCATGAGCGGGGACCAGCTGCACAACGATTCCCAGGTGAGCGCCTCTCTACCGCCGGCGGGGGCCCGCTCCCGGGGGACCCCGGTCCCTCGCCGCCGAGGCCGCGGGGTCCTTACTTCCCCTCAGGATCGGCCCCGGGGGCTCGGCTGACCCCCCCCCCCTTTAACCTCAGTGAGGGGAGACGTGCCCTGCTGCTGCCCCCTGCCTGGCCCCACTCGGGGTAGCCCACGCGTCTGGGGAGAGCTCTGTCAACCCGGCCTGTCCCCCCCTCCCCCTCCGTCGTGCTGGGGTGCCCCCATCCACCGATCCCGTCCTCCCCGGCCACGGGACCCGTTTCTGCCCAGATGGGGGGCGGTGGGGGAGAGGGGACTCGTGCGTGAGTCCCTGCCCGGGAGAAGGGGAGGGGGGCGGCTGCCCACCTTCACCTGGCTCGCTCCCCTCTGGGGGGTCACCCCAGGAGCTGTGGGGGTGCCGGGAGACGGTTCACCCTTCCCCACCGCCACGGAGGGCACCTTCTGCATCGCGCTGGTCATTTCTCATTTGATATTTAATTTCCATAAAAATGAGAATGAAGGGGGGGGGAATCCAGCGCGCCCCCCCCCCCCCAAAAAAAAAAAAAAAAAAAAATCCCCTGGCGGGACGGCGTTTTTCACGGTCTCTCCCTGTCTCCTCTCCCCGCAGATCGAGGCGGATTTCCGAGCGAACGGTGAGTGTGGCCCCGGCGCGCCCCTCGCCTCGCCGCGCCGGCCGCGCACAGACATGGCGTCCCAGAGACTAAGTCCCGGCTCCTCGCTCACCGGCCCCATTGTTCCCATCGAGCTGCCAAAAGCGCCCCTTTCCTGGCGGCCTCGCCACCCCCCGACCCCCGCTTCCCCTAGTGGGGGCACCGGAGGCCCCCGATCCGAGCCCAGCGGCTCTCCCGGAGTCCCCTTTGGGCCCCGATTCCTCCCTGGAAAGTCGCCTTGTCGACGGTCGGGACTTAGTCTCTGCGCCATTTTCTTTTTCTCCTCTCTTCTGTGTGGCTTTCTCTCCTTCTCCTCCTCCCCGTGCTGCCGGAGAGGAGCCTTCTACAGAGGCACCGAGCGGCGATCCCCGGCCCCCAGCCCCTTCTTAACGGAGGGGAAAGCAAAGTTTTTAACTCAAAAAAAAATCCCCAAGCCGTTTTTGTATCGCAGCCTCCCTCCCCCCACTGCTCCCCGTCTCTGTTCCTTTCAGGGAATCCCTCCCTTCCCCTAAAATGAAAGGTGATTGCAACATGTTGCTCTTTTAAAGAATCTGCTGCATCCATTTTAAGATCAGTCTTATTTCTTTCCTTGATATTTAATTGATGTAACTTTACCTTGTTGGGTGGGGTTTTTAATTGAAATAAAAGCCCACATTAAAAAAAACCAATCAAAAAAACCCTCCGAAAAACCAACAGTGTAGACAATTCCAGAAAGGTAGACAGCATCACTTCAGAAAGTTTGCAAGCTATCTGTTCATCTTGTTCAGAAACATTGTAGTAGTTCTGTAATTTTTTTTATATATGTATATATTTATATATGAATATATGCACTTATATGTCTCTCTATATTTATATTCATATATATATACGCACATATATAATATCTTTTCTAATCAGCCTGATGGCTGCTAATTTTTTCTGATTGTTTATTCATTTTTCTAGGAAGCAAAGCTAATTGCAATCCCCCCCCAGGTTGGTAGGTGTCAAATTGAAGGGCTTACGCAGGGTGGAGGGAAGTTGAGGACATATAACCTACCTTTGTCTGTATGTGTTATTGTCGCTGTTCGGGATGTGTAAGGAACTCTGAGCTGTTGTCTGACTGATGAGGTGGTAGAGGACAAAAAAATGGTTGAAGATACCTGCTTAACTTATACTGATTTTTAGCATGCTTTTCTGGATGATGTTCATGTGCCTCTTTGGGTTGTAGGCTACCGCATGTAAATATTTACAAATCTATGTTTGTGTGCACCTTTCTGTCAGTTCATTGGAATGTGATTGTGTGTGTGCAATAGGAGCAGGCAGTAGTGAATATGCAGGTTTTGAACTTTTATTTCCATTCTGAATCTATAGTAGGGCTCTGTGAATAATTCTTAACAGAAAAAAGGGTGCAGTGGATTTCCCAAGAAGTGCAGGAGTAACTCTTGAAGCAACTTAAATATAAGCACTTATTTGAATACTTATAGACTTCTTATGCTGGGAAATACTTGCTTAAGGATCATCTTTATTTAGGGAAAAGTACTCCCTGGTAAGCTTTAGTTATGTACTGATTTACATAGGGGAAATGATGCATATTTGACCTTTCCACTCAGCTTCCAGTGAACCTCTTAGAAGGATTTCTCTCCTCTATTGTGACCATGTGCTGTTTTATTCTTTTAAGAATTTGAGGCATATAACACTTACAACTCCTCTAGTTTTTATTTCTACCATGTGTTGGAGGAATTCAGTACAGAAAATCAAAGTAAGACACCTTGATGGAAAAACTGAATTCCTGGTAAATCAAGCATACCCAACAAATTCATACCAGTGCAGGTAGCGGCACCCTTTTCCTCCTATTGTAATTATTTTTATGGCAGTCATGTAACATCATCGTGACTGATCAGAGGCCCCAAAAATCCAAAATCCCTTTCAGCTCTGAAAGGTGCATGTAACCCTGTTAGTCTTGTTAAGGGAATAATGCTGAATAGACACTGTTCTCTCTGACCTTGTGACCACGACTGATCTTCCTGAAAACCTGTCACCTCTGCTTGCTCTGAGTCTTGTTTCCTCTACATAGGAGTTCTTTGCACTTCTGCGTTGGGAATTGTCACGCGCGGATCTGAGAACAGCGGTTTTCATTTAGGCATAGCAGTGAGGCTCTAGCTCTTATATTCCTGTTTTGATCCTATTTAGTGGCAAAGATTAGGAGTGGGTGGTAGGAATCTCAAGTACTTCCCCCCCCCCCCCCAGATGTTTAGAATTGGTTTGTACTTTGATTATTGTTAGGCAGCACTTAACAGTAGTGCCAACGTCTCCTTTTAGGCTGCCTTTCTTCTTTACATTTGGGGAAAGGGAAGTTTTTCTGGGGGCTGGTACTGACTGATTCTAAATGTTGAAGGTACCAGCAGTAAACATTTTTGTTAATGAAGAATGTTTTGGGTGACTTCTGGATAGTGTATCAGTAATAGAGCAGCTTAAGCACTTTGAAGCTTCCTGTTGTTACTGATGTTCAAATCTGGGTCAATGGACATACTACCTCAGGTGGTGATCACACAAGTTGTTGCAGCTGAAGTAAGGTGGGTGGGGGTGGATCTGCCAGCCCATTGCAGGTCACCAAGGAGCACCCTGGTTGTAGCTGAGAACTTGGATCTGATTACACCCATTTCATTGATAGCAGGGTAGTGTTGGGTATGAGAGAGGATGCCAGCAGTAAATATGTGTTCCTGGCTATTTCTTGTCATTAAATAGCCAGATCACTCTAAGCAACAGTGTCCTGGGCAAATTCCAACTTGGGTAATTGCATTCCGTCTCAATATCCAGATTCCCTCTCCTGTTTAATTTGGCGATAGTGGGTATTTTTTTCACCTTAATTGTATTTTTAGTATCAGTACGCACTGCAAAGAATTTTCCATGTTCAGTCCTAGCAGTGCCTAGTTTGCACAGTTTGCAAACCATCCTGAGAACAATATTGTGCTGAAACAGCGAGCCTTTTTTGCAAGTAATGTCCTCGCAGTCTTCAGCATTGTAGAAGGGAAATGGTAGTCTAAAACTGTCATTTCCAAGTACAGCTTGGTCATGGAAAGTGACCCCTTCTTCACAAATGTGAATGTTGAGTCACAATTATGTACTCAGGGAGGGAATCATTCTGATTTTGGTTTTTTTCTCACTTGGTAAAATTGCAGGTCACTTCAGATGCAAAATCTGTTTAGGTTCTATTGAGTTTTGCCTTTAATAGGTTTGTTATTAAGGTTGAACATAACAACCTCTTACTGCTGAGGACAATGTTGAGATTAAAAGCAATTTATCTTGACTTTCAGTTCTCCCATTGTGTTTGCAGAGTGCAGTAGATAAAAAATACTTTTGTTTGCAAAATAATCAAATTGTTTTCCAAAGCGGCTAAATTCCACTAACTGCTGTTAGTGTCTTGGCTGTTCATCAGCCTGTGATCAGAACTTGTGTAAAATCCAGAACCATTCAGTGTAAAAAGTGAAGACATCAGCCTAAGCAGTGTTTTTTTCCTCTGGTTGATTTGACCAATAATGTCAAGATGCAATTTGAGGCCATTATCACTGTAGTAATTATTACAGTATACTAACAGGAGTCAGGTGTGAATTTGATTGTCCAGCGTCGTAGAGATGGCTTCTGGAAGTCAAACATGCTTGAAGGAGGGGGCTTGCTTTAACAGTGAATTTTTTTTTGGGGGGGGGGGCGGGGGGAAGAAGCCCTTGCTGCTGCAGCATCTTATCAGAAACTGGCAGTTTTTTTATGTTGGCCTGAGCACTCATATGGCATCTCTGTATATATGAGGGTGAAGATATGAAGGGGAATGAGCAAGAGGGAAATTTAAATTAAATAGCAAGAGTGCTGAACAAATGCCTTACAAGTTAATGAATTTCAGCATGTTTTGTTTCGCATTAAATTCATGTTTTATGTGTGATAGAGCGGAGCACGTAAAAGGTGGCGGTGATTTAAATGCTAAGAAACTGAAAAGCAACATAATGGAGATCCTTAAGATTTTTCAGTGGTTGTGAAATATAGTCTGTTGGAGGCCAGATTTGTTCTTGCTGCTGCTTTGTTGGTGCCTTCTGGATGGGTGAGAGTTTTTTGAAGGAGAGCAGGGCTGCTTCTGATATAGGGTTCTGTGTACCTTAGTGCTGCTGTTAGAGCCACTGTACTAAACAAAAATTCATGAAGTTAGGAAGCTTGAAGGTAAACTCTTGTGCTTTATTTGTTTTGTGCACATCAGGGCGAAACTGTCTTTTAGGTTCCCTGGGAGCATGTCACCAGTGCATTTAAATATCAAATGTTTGGCAAGGGATCCAAAATACAAAAGGTAGTTAATGGTATTTAGATGCAGATTGATATCTCCACTGAAAATTTCCTTTCCCTTTTTTATGATACATGGAGATGTGAATCCTGAAGAATGTAATTTGTTCCTTCCAACACAAGCCTCGCGTCACTCCCTGCCTTCACTTCCAGACTGCAGTGCTGGGTGGTGAGCCTGCATTGTAAGAAGTGCTGCCCACAGTCTCAGAACAATACTCGGGGTAGCTTTAAGTCTGAAACCACTTAGCTTTTTTATTTTAGAAGTATTTAACTTCAGACGCTAATCTCTGCAAAATTTCTTAATTTTATTTTCACATTGGTTCACAGCAATCTATTGCAGGGCTTGTAGAATAGTAACAGTGTAGCTTTACTATAGGAATCTTCAGATTGTTACAGGTGAGGGTACTTTGAAGTAAGTTGATCATTTATGACACTTCTCAGAAATGCAGACTCAGAAATGTAAATAAATGTATTGTTGGTAAGCTGCTCTTAAATATCATGTGCTACATAAGTTGTTTGCATCTATCTTTCCAGCAGTAGCCTCAAAAGGGCTTTTACTGAAGACCTTGAGGTCTGTTGTGTTAATTGTTCTGACACATTCAGCATTCAGGTTAAAACTTAATGGGTGTCTTGTGGGAGTGGGGAGTTGAATGCATTTCTGTTAGCTGTGGCCAACTTTT